ATGCTCCCTAGATCCATGGAGAATATATTTAAGAAAGGTGGGGGAAAAAAGAAAAGAAAAAGTGCCTCAGCCAGCCCTGAAAAACAGGACAAAAACAGTAAGCAGAGATAGCAGTTGCTGGAAGTTTGGTGCTGCAGACGGTGCAATCTGCCATCCCATTTGTTGATCTCGCATGCCATGCTTCAGTTGGCACCGCGGCTGCCAGGAACCACCCCCTCCTTTTCCATCTGAAGCAGGAAAAGCAGTATTATAACAGTGTTAACTCTTCCTGACCTGCAGCCTAGCGCTGCTTCTTCCTCACTGGAGGCTTAATAAACTCGGCCATGTTAGGACCTACAGAGATGATAGAATCGAAGAATTTCAGAAGAGGAAGGGGCCCAAGGGAATATTTAGAAAAAGAAAAGCAGCACTTATTCTTCCAAGATTAGACTGCATGTGACAGTGGGGAGAGGTAATTTGAATTTTGAAGAATGATGCCCACTAAGGAAATCTGCTTTTACCAGGGATCTGATCTCACTCCTGGCAAATCAATACTGATAGCTGGAGGTGGCACAGGGCTGGAGCATCCTACTGAGCTAGACTGAGAGAAAAGCAGGAGCAGGTAGATGGAAGTGAAACAGCAAGGCCTGGTAAGAAAAAAATAACAACAACCCAGCACCCTTAGAAGATGCCATGACATTGTAGAAGGTAAATTGATTAGTCCAGGTAAAATTTAGGGTACAGAATGCAACTATTAATTAAAGTCCTTAAGCAATCACGTAAAATTACTCATAATGCCTTTCCTGTCTTGTTTAACATGCTTTTATGGAAATGAGAGAAGAGAGCACAATTCCAGGACCGTGATGAAGTCCAAAACTTATTAACATCACTGCTGTCAAGTGTGTGAGGGAGATCGCGGTTCAGATTGTAAAAGATATGGTGAATAACTTTGTTCAGATTAAAGAAGTGGAAGTTATCATTTTTAGTGAGTTAGTTAATTTGTATACATAAATGTTTAGGACAATGCCTGGCACATCATAAGTACTAATAAGTACTATGTGTTAGTTGCTGATACTACTGTGCTGCTATTGTTATTAATTATTAGGACATTCAGAACTAGAGCTCATATAGTCTTTAAGCAGAAAACATGTATCAAAGTTCACACAAAATTTTTGTTTATAGTCCTCAGCTTTAAAAATATCAGGTGGAGTTTTTCTTTAAGATGCTTAATTCTGGCTGGGCGCGGTGGCTCACGCCTGTAATCCCAGCACGTTGGGAGGCCGAGCAGATGGATCACCAGGTCAAGAGATCAAGACCATCCTGGCCAATATGATAAAACCCTGTCTCTACTAAAAAAAAACAGAAAAATTAGCTGGGCATGGCAGCACATGCCTGAAGTCCCAGCTACTCGGGAGGCTAAGGCAGGAGAATTGCTTGAACTTGGAAGATGGAGGCTGCAGTGAGCCAAGATGGCACCACTGCATTCCAGCCTGGGCAACAGAGCGAGACTCCATCTCAAAAAAAAAAAAAAAAGAAAAAGAAAAGATGCTTAATTCTTGGAAATGCCCTCTGTCCTGGTTGGAAAACTGATTTTCTGCTTTTCTGTTGGGTCTGATCAAGATGGAGGAGAAGCTACCAACTCAGAGCCCAGGGCAGGGCCTTTGCCACCAGGCATTATTTGAAGTAACCCTTCAAATTTTATGTGAAGTGGGATTCAAGTATTATAATCAAATTGTATGTGCTTGTTTTAGACTTAAGGCCCATAAGTATCAGCTTCGTTGGGGAACAGTCAGGTAATTGAAGAGTGAGAAGGTGACCCCTGGCCCAGGAAGGAGATAGTCCCAGATACTCTCTCAATCTCTTCTTCAAATTAAAAACAGGCCAGGCACAGTGGCTCATGCTTGTAATCCCAGCACTTTGGGAGGCCAAGGTGGGTGGATCACTTGAGGTCAGGAGTTCGAGACCAGCCTGGCCAACATAGTGAAACCCCACCCCATCTCTACTAAAAACACAAAAATTAGCCGGGTGTGATGGTGCACGCCTGTAACCCCAGCTACTTGGGAAACTGAGACAGGAGAATCACTTCAACCCAGGACATGCAGTTTGCTTTGAGCTGAGATTACTTCACTACACTCCAGCCTTGGTGACAGAGCCAGATTCTGTCAAGAAAGAAAGAAAGAAAAGAAAGAAATTAAAAACAGAACCATTTGACCCAGAAATCCCATTATTGGGTATATACCCAAAGGAATATGAATAAATCATTCTACCATAAAGACACATGCACATATTTGTCCATTGTAGCAGTATTCATAATAGCAAAGACATAGAACCTAAATGCCAATCAATGATAAATTGGATAAAGACAACGTAGTACATATATATCATGGAATACCATGCAGCCATAAAAAAGAATGAGATCATGTCCTTTGCAGGAATATGGATGGAGCTGGAGGCCATTATCCTTAGCAAACTAATGCAAGAGCAGAAAGCCAAATACCCCATGTTCTCACTTATAAATGGGAACTAAACAATGAGAACTCATGGACACAAAGAAGGGAACAACACACACTGGGGCCTACTTGAGGGTAGAGGTGGGGAGGAGGGAGAGGATCAGGAAAAATAACTTTTGGGTTGTAAACGTAGTACCTGGGCAACAAAATAATCTGCATACCAAACCCCGTGGCCCAAGATTACCCATGTAACAAACCTGCTCATGTATCCTGAGCCTAAAAAGTTAAAAAAAAAAAGACTTGTCTTCCCCTGCCAGCCCAACCCAGTCCTCCCCACCACATATGTCAGCATCTCACAGCTTCCAAGGTTGAACTCAAATTCTCTCGTCATAACTCTGCTGACTCTGACACTGTTCCCGGAGCATCCTCTTTTCGAAACTCTTGTAAGACTACTGGGCCTATGCCACAAAGTTTATTGCTATTAGTTAGCATTTTACTGATAGGACATGAAAAGAGTTCACAGCAATGCCCGAATTATTACTCAGTACAGTTTGTGCTTTGCCTATTGTATCTCATGTGATCAGTACGAATTGTGCCTCCATTTTGCAAATAAGTGAATGGATGCACAGAGAGGCCAAGCACCTGTGTGAGCCCTGCCCGCCTGGCTCTGGACCTGAGACTCCTAATCCCCTTCCTTGTCTACTTCTTCCTTCGCTGTTTTAGTCTTTGCTGTTTCCCCACATGTTAGCCTTATCTTCTCAGTGGGTGAGAAACTCTTCAGAGCACTGGCTCTCAGATTCGGTTATGTGTGTGTATTCCTAGGCCCCTGGCACTAAGAACTTATCTGAGGACTAACATTCTGTCTCCCCCCGGGTGGAGTCAGGAGCGGGGGCTCCTAATCGGATGACCACTATGGTTGGTTGAATGCTGAGAGCTGAAATGTTTCTGAAAATGAACTCTCTCCTGGACCATCTCCAGTTCTTGCTGTAGCAGTAGCCACTGTCCTTCCTTCATGCTGGGCAGAGGGTTTTCTGTTGTGCAAGCAGCAGCCTCGCTTCTTTCCTGCCAGTGAGTGCCAGGAAAAACTTTTTTTTTTTTTTTTTTTAGCAAAAACAAGCAGGAACAAGTTGGTATTGGCAGAGAAGGCCTAGGTAAATCCAAAAGGTGTACTTTGCCCCCAGTCGTACCCAGTTTCTTGGCCACACCTGACACCCTGCATGGGGCCCCTGGCGTCGCACCTGGACCTGTGCTCCTTGATGAAAATGTGCCCAGCCCTTGGCCCTTTGTTCCCTTTTCTTAAGGCTGCCACTAACTACTGATCTGATCAATAAAATCAGGCTTATTGTCATCCCTCTGGTGACATATTTGCATTTTAAAAGGAGATAATTCTTTAACTGTTCTGCAAGAAGGCAAAGGAGGAGAAAAAGTACACCCTGTGTGGGAGGTAGAGGCTGGTGTAGAAAGGACTCCAGAGTCTGGGTAACCCCGGAATCAAATTCTGACCTTACCCCTCACCAGCCATGTGACAGCTCCTCCAGGCCCTAGTTTCTTGTCTATAAAATGGCACAGTGCCTGGCACTATATATACTTACATAAATATAAAATGCTATCCAGGCCAGTTGTAGCCCTCCAATGAGTATTCCTTTAAAATCTCCTCCTCCCAGGTTATCTTCTTTGACACCCACAGGGAAGGCTGATCTGAACTCATCTATCTGGATGTTGTTGTCAAACTAAAAACAACAGTGATTTTTGTATCTTGTGGGTACAAAAATCGGAAACCATTAATTTTAACCATAATTAATTTTAAAATGTTCTCAGCTTAGGGTTTGTAAAAACATTTCAAAATTGTGAAATATAGCCTGTATACAGAAAAGTACATAAAATGGGTATGCACAATTTAGCAAACAATTATAAAAGTGTCACTCATGTAACCACTACCCTGGTCAAGGATTGGTAGGAACTGCCTTAAAGTAGTGTAGCTACGTAGCACAGTGCTTCTCCACTGGGAGCAGTTTTGGCTGTCACATCAGGAGAGGTATTGGCATCCAGTGTGTAGAGGCCGGGGATGCTGCTAAACGCTCTACAATGCACAGGGCACCTCCCCACAACAAAGAATTATCCAGCCCCAAGTGTCAATCCTGCCCAAATTCAGAAACACAGTGCTTCAGCAGGAGATGAAATTTTAAGGAAAGATTTGGATGTTCAACAAATCGACTATTGTCAAAACTTAGATTTATGTGGCACATTTTTAGTAATGCTGTCCCACTCAACTAATTGTTCTCTGAAGGAGAAAAAGAAAGGCGAGCCAGAATTTCAGACGAAGGATCTGAAGGTAATAGACGTTGCTGATCGCATCAATCAGTTTGTATTCTTTCATTGCTGCCAAGTGCTTTTAATCTCCTCTGTCACTTTGCACTAATCTTGGGAATCAAATACTGTAAAAGTGAGTTGAAGCCAGACGTGTTCCGTTTGACTGTTAATTAAATTGCAAATAAATTAAATACTATATTCTTCCCAACAATGTGTTCCAGCCCCCTTTGCACTTGTGACTCTGTCTTTCATTTATTGCAGGATATAGTCGTTCGTGTTGTTTTTATTCTTGGCAACCTGACTGCGAAGAATAACCAGGCTCGTGAACAATTTTCCAAAGAGAAAGGGAGCATCCAAACTCTGCTGTCATTATTCCAGACTTTCCATCAGCTCGATCTGCATTCCCAAAAACCGGTGGGCCAAGGAGGCGAGCTGTACAGGGCGCAGAGGCTGCCGTCAGAGGCAGAGGACGTGCTCATCAAGCTGACCCGTGTGCTCGCCAACATTGCCATCCACCCTGGCATGGGCCCGGTGCTGGCCACCAACCCAGGGATAGTGGGCCTGCTCCTGACCACGCTGGGTAAGAACCGTGGCCCCTGGCTGCGGCAGGCACAGCTGCCTTTCCCGCAGCCCAAAGACAGTTCTGTGGCTGGGGTGTGATGAGGATTTTATTAGCACAAGTGGCTCCCTACGAAAAAGTCTTAGCTGTGTGAAGGAAATTTCCCCTTCTGTTCAGAACTGCCTTAAAAGTAATCCAGATTTTTACAAAGGAAAAGAAAACATAGTAATAGAGATTATTACTAAAACTCACCAAATTGTACACTTTCAAAGGGTGAATTTTACGGTTTGTGAATTACATTGCAATTTTTAAAAAATATACTTAGCAAATGAACAAATTTTGGCTAAACTAACCACAAAGTTTAAAATTCCAAATATTTGAGTTTAGAATCCCAAATCCCAAATATTGTGAGCAATCCACATGATTAAAATTAATTCCTTTTTCTTTTTCCTCTTCAGGCTCTTACATTATTTGTAATTACAGTCCCCAGTATTCAAGTCCTATTCATTCCCCTTGCATTAGCTCAGATTGCCATAACAAAATGCCACAGACTGGGCAACTTTGCCAGAAATTTATTTCTCATGCTTCTGGAGGCTGAGAAGTTCAAGATCAAGGTGCCAGCTGGTTCAGTTCCTGGCTTGCAGACAGCCACCCACTCACTGTGTGCTCACATGGCTGTCGTTGGTGCAAGCATTTATGGGGTAGGGGACAGTCTCTCTCCCCCTTCCTCTTTTTATAAAGTCACCAATCCTATCGTATTAGCACCCTACTCTTATGGGCTCTGTAACCTGCTGTATCTCTTCAGAGCCCTATCTCCAAATACAAGCATATTGGGAGTAGGCCTTCAACATATGACTTTTGTGGGGTACACAATTCAGTCCATGGTACCCCCTACACTTTTTAGGCCTGTCATCTCCCACAAGCATTTCTGCCTGCTAGTGTGTAGGGAAATTAACTGCAACCCAGGGTAATCAATTTAGCCACTACTAGCCAGGCCTGGTGGCTCACGCCTGTAATCCCCGCACTTTGGGAGGCTGAGGTGGGTGAATCACAAGGTCAGGAGTTTGAGACCAGCCTGGCCAACATGGTGAAACCCTTTCTCTACTAAAATACAAAAATTAGCCGGGCATGGTGGCATGCACTTGTAATCCCAGCTACTCGGGAGGCTAAGGCAGGAGAATTGCTTGAACCCAGGAGGCGGAGGCTGCAGTGGGCGAAGATTGTGCCACCGCACTCCAGCCTGGGCAACACAGTGAGACTCTCTCTCAAAAAAAATTAGCTACTACTAATGAGACTTGTGAAAAATATTGTTGTTTTGGAAGGAAGTTTAATGCCTGATGAAATGGTGTTTTGGAGGAGTAGTCTGTGAACTCCCTGCTCCCCCTCGCCTACACTATTCAACTCAGGAGCCAGTTTCTGAGCTCTTTCTGGGTAACCACTTCTGTGCTATACATTCAGTTTCATTTAGTCTGCTCAGGCTGCCATAACAAAATCCTATAAACTGGGCAGCTTCAACAACAGACATGTATTTTCCCACAGTTCTGGAGACTGGAAGTCCCAGATGCCCGCAGGGTCAGAGTCTGGTGCGGGCTCCCTTCCTGGGCTGTGGTTAACTGTCCTCTTACTAGGTCCTCACGTGCTGAAGACAGCACACTCTAGGATCCTTTCCCCTTCTTATAAGGGCACCAGCTCTGCTGGATGGGGGCCCCACCCTCCTGACCTCATTTAACCTTTATCACTTCCCCACAGGACCTATCTCCAAATACATTGAAGGGATAGGGCTTTTACATATGAATTCGTGGGGACACCAACATTCAGTTTAGAAGAAGGTTTTAAAAGTGGAGGCAGGTATATGCCGTCAAGGAATTTGGCATATATGGTGGAGGGACATCGGGTGCACAGACAAGAAACCCCGGTTTCTGAGAAGGACAGAAGCAAGGTGCACGTGGCTAAGGGACAGGAGGCAGACCCAGCTGTGGGCATGTGAGTGACCAGGCCATGCTTCACTATGGAGCTTTACACTTGAAAATGCATTTTCATATGTTACGTTACCTCACGACAACGTAAGGGTACGTGCTTGTTATTTTCATCATTTTCACAGATAAGGAAACAGGCTCAGAGAGATAGAGTGACTTTCACAGGTCACAAAGTTAGCACGTGGCAGAGTCACCAGGCTCCTGACCCATGCTTCTCCACACTCCACCTCACGTCACCTGTTTCGAGAAAGGACTCTTCCATTCTGACCGAGAACTGCACCCTGACTTACCACTTCCATGTAAATAATGCAAAACTCTCTGTGTTCAGGCCTGAGTTCTTCCAAGCTGCTGACTGCACATCAGGTCATGTGGAAGAATAGGCATGTAGCTGTGAGACAAATTCAGTTTCTGTTCCAACCTCAAAGCATCCAGCATTTGCTCTGCAGCATGCCCACATCTGCTGAAACTCCTTCCCCTTCCTGAGATCCACTCACCACACCAAGCAGGGCTTCTCAGCCCAGAGCCAGGGATGTGGCTGCTGTGGAATCGGCTGTGGGACTCATTAAAATACCCTTTTTGGTTTCTGGCCCCTGCCCAGAAACTGCCTCTATAAAATGCCATTAGAAATCTGAAATCTGCCTTTTCATGCCTCCTCTGCCCCCAGGTGAGTCTTCTGCACATTTAAGTGTTGAGACCCAGTGCTTCAGGAAACCACGTTAGCTTTTCTTGCTCCTCAGGTTCTAGTAGAAACCTGAAACCCACTGGGTGAGTTCTCGCCTGATGTAGACTTAATCTCTTTACCTGACTGTGGCTGCCCGGGAAGGGCTTCAGGACCAGACCTCAAACACCTGGGCTAGGGCACACGGCTGTGAACAGCCAAGGAGAGTCGTGCATGATTCATTTCCCACAATTGTTAATATTCACATATAAAGTGGAAAAACTCCTCTTCTGATACATATTTTATGAGCTTAGAAATTACATTTCTACCTATAAAGGAAGAATGAATAACTTGCTTTTGACTCAAAAGAAAGTGATGCTTTGGGGTAGGAGAAAGAGGCAAGAGACCGGGCGCAGTGGCTCACACCTGTAATCCCAGCACTTTGGGAGGCCAAGGCAGGCGGATTGCTTGAGGCCAGGAGTTTCAGACCAGACTGGGCAACATGGCGAAACCCTGTCTCTATTTAAAAAAGAAAATTAGCTGGGTGTGATGGCACATGCCTGTGATCTCAGCTTCTCAGGAGGCTGAGGTAGGAGAATTATCTGAGCCCAGGAAGTCAGGGATGCAGTGAGCCATGATTGCACCACTGTACTCCGGCCTGGGCAGCGGAGTGAGACCCTGTCTCAAAAAAAAAAAAAAGAAAAAAAGGCTGGAAGTGGCTCATGCCTATAATCTTAGCACTTCTGAAGGCCACGGCGAGCAGATTACTTGAGGCCAGGAATTCAAGACTAGCCTGGCCACTTCAGAAGTGAAGAAACCCTGCTCTCCCGTGATCGGTCAGGCCTCTTGCCAATATGCCTTGGGCAGTTATTTGGGCAAGCAGGTGATCCCTTCTCTATTCTCTCCTGAAATATTTTATCTCCAAAAAAAAAAAAAAAAAGTTTATAGAAGGGCAAAAGTCACCCCAACAGAGAATCAGCCTCCTCCACCTTCCCCTTATACAGTTCGACTCCTGGGTGAGTTTCTAAGCCCTGCTAAGCCCTTTCTACACTGGTATCTGGGGATTTCCTACCTGTTTTATCCGCATCAGTGTGAAGTGGTGATCACCTTCCAGGAAAGGCCTCCTGCTTGCTCCAACAGGCCTGGCCGCTTAGGGCAACGCAGGGCCAGGGCTGTGCTGTGACTGTGGCTATAGAAAGGGCCCATGGTCATGCCCATGGCCTGGTGGTGCCCACTGAAGTCAGAGCTGCTGCTGTCCTGTTTACCCTCGGAGCTGAGCACTCCTCCCAGCCGATGGCTCTTGTCACATGGCCCCCTTCCCAGTCACGTGGAAAGGGCATCCCTTGGGTTCTTTTCTTTCTGCCTCCCACTAGCCCTGTACCCTTCACAGGGAGTTGCTTGTGAGGACTTGCCTAGAGAGGCCAGCCTCATTGCATAAGGTCTTTTAAAAATCAATAATGTTGGCCAAGTACAGTGGCCAATGCCTGTAATCCCGGCACTTTGGGAGGCCGAGGTGGGCAGATCACAAGGTCTGGAGATTGAGACCATCCTGGCTAACATGGTGAAATTCTGTCTGTACTAAAAATACAAAAAATTAGCCAGGCACGGTGGTGGGCACTTGTAATCCCAGCTACTTGGGAGGCTGAGGCAGGAGAATCGCTTGAAACCGGGAGGTGGAGGTTGCAGTGAGCCGAGGTCACGCCACTGCACTCCAGCCTGGGCGACAGAGCAAGACTCTGTCTCAAAAAAGAAAAATCAGTGATGTTTTTAGTAAGAACCAGCCTCCTCAGTATGCCACCAGACTCAAGAGATATGATGCCTTAGTGGTAAGTTCAGATTTTCTTATATCCATGAGTCAATTATAGAGGATAGTATGGTTCCATCATGCTTTTTCAGAAGCAGTCTATTGCCCCAGCTAGCTCCAATGGGAACTCAGCAACACTGTGTCCTTGGCTACAGCAGGGTGCTGTGGGAAGTGTAGGTTAGTAGGGTCTAATAGACCTGTATTCAGATGTGTGCTCTGTGAAGTCAGGCAAGGTCTTGAACTTCTGAAAGCCTCACTGTTCTCGTCTGACCCCTAAATTCATCTATGAAGTTCTAAGCCCCATGTGATGGTATTTGGAGATAGGGCCTTTGGGAGATCATTAGGTTTAGATGAGGCCATGAGGTGGGGCCCTTATGCTGGGGTTAGCGCCCTTGTAAGAAGAGACACCAGAGCCTGACCATACAGGCTCCCTGATCTTGGACCTCCAGCCTCTATAACTCTGAGAAAATAAATTTCTGTTGGCTGATAAAATAATATAATACCCAGTTTATGGTATTATATTATAGCAGCCCAAGGTGACTGAGATAGATGTACCTTTCAAGATTTAATTATTGTGGGTGTGAATTCTTGTAAGTGCATGTAAAATATTATTAGTAGTTGACTTTTGAGGGTTACATGAATGTAAAGTGCCTGGTGCTGTACATGATAAATGCTTAGCAGCTGTGAGCCCCTACCCCTAGTCCCAGATACCAGACACCATTCCTGCTACCCAAACTCACGGTCCTTTGGGAGGTCAGACACATAAGAGCTACCCTGCATTTTCTAGACAAGCTCATGAATTTCCCTACCAAGGCCAGATGAATAAAACAGATCCCCAAACACTGCCCAAGACCTAGAGTCATCAGTCCGGGGCTGGAGGAAACCAGGGCTGCAGACCCTGTGCCCAAGCGTTAGACATTCACCTGAGTTGCTCCCCATCAGCTGTCACTCTGGATGGCCCATCTATTCATTTAATAAGCACTTAATTAGTACCCACTATGTGCCATGCACTCAATAAGCCCCTGAATATGTTTAAACATTGTAACAGCTCTTTAATGTAGGTGCAGTGATCATGCTCACTTCACAGTCAAGGAAACTGAGGCCCAGGGAGGTTAAATAACTTGAGTTCAAGTTCACATGGCCAGTGAGTAGAAGCATAGAGTCTGGCTCCAGAGTCATGGCCAAAGCAAGAGGGAATAATTTTGGGGATCCTGTGTCCTTTCTGCATCACAACTAGGATATTTCCTTATAGTAGAATCCATATTGATAACCAAAATAATTCAGTTCCTTATTCCCTTTCTGTGTACTTAAACTAAAGAACAGAAAGTCAGGTCTTCATTTATTCTTTCTTTTTCCGAGTATCCATAAGTGTCTAGCAGGTACTGGGCCTATGCTGACCGCTCTAGCGAGAGGGACCACTGGCCGAAGGACCAGTGTACATCTTCTGCAGCCTACCAATGACTGAGCTTTCCTTTCAACATCGTAATTTATAAAAAGGCAGTTCTCAGGCCAGGCGCGGTGGCTCACGCCTGTAATCCCAGCACCTTGGGAGGCCGAGGTGGGTGGATCACGAGGTCAAGAGATCAAGACCATCCTGGTCAACATGGTGAAACCCCGTTGACCCTGTACAAATACAAAATAATGTTTTGCATTTGTAAAAATACAAAACATTAGCTGGGCATGGTGGCGCGTGCCTGTAATCCCAGCTACTCAGGAGGCTGAGGCAGGAGAATTGCCTGAACCCAGGAGACGGAGGCTGCGGTGAGCCG